TTGCAGCAGCCCGGGGCGCCTGGAGAGTTCTCCCTGCAGACATTTTTTTGGAACGACTGTTGCGTTCTTATGGATTGATTCATTAGTTGTTGGACGCTGTTGAAGAGCTGCTGGCTTTCCAAGGATGCGCGGTTTTGCCGAAAATGTGGCAAGCCGCGGCCTTTGCCGAAGGCGCAGCAAGGTCTTAGACGTGAGTAGAGCGAGTGGGCAGGAAGGCTACGTCTCCAGGACATGAGCTGAACCAGATACGGCCACTCTCACCAACAGAGATAAACAGCGCCTTGGAGGGTGGCGTGGTTGGTTAAATGTCAAGTCGTTTTGAAAGATGGCAGTGTGCTTGCAGGCGGTGCATCTGGATGTGCCGCCAACGGTCCCACAGGCTCTGTTGGAATCAGAGTTGAATCTGGGATGACCTTTTTTTGGGATGGTTCATGTGGACACTCCGTGAAGGCGTGCAACGGGCATACATATTCTCTCTTACCATGAGATTTATGCGCGTTCATTGTTGCAACTGAAGACCCCGAATCTCTCGCCTCAGGGAGACTTTACCTTTGCGTATCCCAAACCTCCATGACAAAATGGCAGTCTTTATAAGTTTGTGCGCGCGACGTGAAGCTGCGAGCTTGTCTTGTTGATGGGGTGTGCCCAGTGTGGCAGAAGGGCTTGAACATGTCTGAGATCTTGAGCAAGTCTTGGCCTTTCGCGTTGAGGTGTAAAAGCTAGCCTTCACACGCGCGGACACTGAAGAGTTGCGTTGAGTCTAATGTATACTGGCGTGGTAGAACGTGTGGTATTGACGTCGGAGTCCTAAGCCTATCAATCAGGTTTCACTCTCCGAATAATGCACCAAGCTAAGAGGATCACTGCCCCCCCTGCTTGGCTGACTTTTGCAGCGCCTGACAAACGCCCTTGTGAATCATGGGACGAAATGTGCTCCGTCCGGGACGTGTATCACCGCTTGCGAAAGTGGTAGGCGCACGCACACACACACAATGCCACCTGTAAAAATTTTGAGGGAGCTGTCCTTGGTGCTGTGCAGGGTTGTGGCCTGTTCGAGGACAAGACGCGATGGAAAGGCGTAGAATCAGGCAACGGCAATGTATGTGATAAGGAATGCAGTCATGACCGCAAGTTGGCGGAGTCTTTTTAGCTCCTCCGCATCGTTCAGCGAGATCGAGAGAACGAGTAAGATGTTTTTGAGATTAGCGCGAAGCAAATCGAATTGTCCCCCAACCGCTGGAATCAGCGTTATATTATGTCCGGGCGGCGAAACTGTAGGATACGCCACGCCGCGGCAAGCCCCGATCACTCAAAGGATCAGCAGTGTTGAGCAGTCGATGCACACACGCGCGCAGACACACGCTTGAGATATTGCGTACGAAACTGAATGCCACATGCCAACGCATGCCAACGGCGACCTCTAAGAAGTCAGGTGAAAGGTAAACCTGAAAAGATACAAGGTGAACCTGAAAAGGTACATGGTGCGGAGTCCAACCGAAGCACTGAATTCTCTGAAAATGCGACAAGGTGCAACAACAAGTCGGTCAAGCTCATCAGCACTTTAATGCAGAACCGAAGCCAAAAGCGAGTGCTTGTTCTAGTTACAAGCAGAGCCCAGTAGGAAGTGAAAGGTAAAATGCAGGTACGCTGGGGTGATCAGTCCCATGAAACCGAGAACCAACTCAAAAGAATCCCTGTGACTCCAAGGGTCTCACACACACGCCTCCCGTTGAGGGAGGCCGAGTCGTTTCCAAGTAACAAGCCAGTGTGCAAATGTGCGCGCAGCATGGACAAAGAGATGAAGACATGAAAAGGAGGACGAGACAGGCCAAAGTTGTATGTGACTGCGATGAAAAAGCCAATTGAACAGGGACAAACAGCGAACCGTACCTCATTGTCAAGACCTGGGCGACCTGAAACCTGGGTTAAAAGCAGTTGCGCGCGTACATACTAAGGGCCGGGCCGATGCGCGCACAAGAGAGGGAGTGAAGTGACAGGACATGAAGCCGGGAAAGGCGTGAAGCAAAAGAAGAACATAGAGTGTGTGTGTGTGTGTGTAAGCATCCGCTGCGGACTGCTCTGTTTCCGGGCAATGGATACGTAGACAAACTCCCGTTCAACGGGTCCACAGCGGACACTCCTTGGGTACACCCGGGGTCTCACTAATTAAGGAGAGAGACACTTCTGACACAAGTGCAGCTTGCCACACACACACACACACGCACCCTCGCACACCTCTCACACCTCTCACGCACGCCTGCGAAAGCGCGCCCCGACACCTCACACCTGCGCGCGCGCACACTTATGGATATGCGTACTGACTTGACAGCGGTGCCACACGCCGGCCTAGGGTGCCATTTCCTAAGAGTACAAGGTCGGGAAAACCCTAGGAGCCTCGAGGTCTTCAAGAGGAGAGAAGTGGCCCAAAGCGGAAAAGAACGATCGACGATCACGGGTCGAACAGGATGACGGCGTGTCGCTCGTGTCTGCAGTTACAGAAGCTACCATGTCAGTGAGGTTCTGGGCTTAGCCTCGTGCCATTCAGATGAAATCGCAGGTACGTCTGCCTGATCAGGCCAGATATCCGCATGTACTGTGGCCGCTTCGTTGGACCATCGCTCACAGTACATGGATGGTCCCCCTGCTGAAAAACGAAAAATTTGGCACAATCCGACTGGATCCCTGTGACTACAAGGGGCACACACACACGCCTCCCCAAGGGGAGGCAAATTAAGGCTAGGACGAGTGTGCAAATGTGCGCGCAGCAAGGACAAAAGGATGAAGACATGAAAAGGAAGACAGACGGGGCAAAAGGGTGTGTGGTTGCGATGAAAGAGAAACCAAGTGCACAGGGACAACCGATGAAACCCACCTCACAACGAGACCTGGGCGACCTAACACCTGAGTTGAAAGTAGATGTGCGCGCACACACTAAGGCCCGGACCGTTGTACGCGCAAAAGAACGAAAGGAGTGAGACGAAAGGGCATGAAGCAAGGGAAGACATGAAAAGAAAGAGGAAAAGAAGTGTGTGAAGGGGAAAGGGTGAAAGGGGAACCAAATGGAGGGGACGGGAACCGATGAAACCAGACCTCATTACAACAACCTAGGAAGACCTGCCTCGTTGAAGTGTGTACGATGTATGTGCACCTAAGTGTCCGACAGGTTCCAATGAACCTTAAACTTGCTTTGACCGCTTTTGTCACCTTGTGCCCTGCCGAAATGGCTGGCTGCTCGCTGCGGTCACGTAAAGGCGTGAGCCAACTTAGAATTCCAAAGATGGGACAAACATCCAACTTCTTGTGGCGTAAGCCATCTGCTGTCCGCTGTGGACACGTACATCTCCAGGCAGGGGAGATAACGACAAACGCCCGTTCGACGGGTCCACGGCAGGCACTCTACTGGCTCATCCCGGACTGGCGCAAGGCCAGACACACTTATGGATATGCGTACTGACTTGACAGCGGTGCCACACGCCGGCCTAGGGTACCATTTCCTAAGAGTACAAGGTCCGGGAAAACCCTAAAAGCCTCGAGGTCTTCAAAAGGAGAAAAGTGGCCCAAAGCGGAAAAGAACGATCGACGATCACGGGTCGAACAGGATGACGGCGTGTCGCTCTTGTCTGCAGTTACAGAAGCTACCATGTCAGTGAGGTTCTGGGCTTAGCCTCGTGCCATTCAGATGAAATCGCAGGTACGTCTGGCTGATCAGGCCAGATATCCGCATGTACTGTGGCCGCTTCGTTGGACCATCGCTCACAGTACATGGATGGTCCCCTGCTGAAAAGCGAAAAAATTAGCACAATCCGACTGGATCCCTGTGACTACACGGGGCACACGCACACACACACACGCAGCCAGACTTGCCGGCATTCTGTTCAGTGAGCCTCGCCATACCTCGGGCGGGACGGCCTACACCAGCCAGGGCTCTGCCCGGAGTTCAACGCCGACGGTGGTCGAAGCGAAGGCGGGGACTTGTGCATGGTGGACCTAGAAGAAGGGTATGTGTTTGAGCAACATGGCCGCTCAAACTACCCCAGATTGCAAAAAGACTTGTGGCCGGCGCCATTGCTGTGGCGCCCTGCAGCAGCGCCAGCGCCCAAGCTCTGAAACGCTGCGCCCTGCAGCGGCACCGCGCCCAAGCTCCAAAGCGCGCAGCTCCTGGCAGGGGCGCCTTGCAGCGGCGCCAGCGCCCTGCCCAGGCTCCAAAGCGCCCACGGCCGCATCTGGCACCAGCACATTGCAGCGGCACCAGCACCAGGGTCCAAAGCGCACTCAGGCACCTTTTCCTGTACTTAAAGTAGGGACACCAATAGCTCATGCTACCTGGAGAAACATTTGCAAGCAATGAGAGTTTGTTCAGACCGGCTTCAAATAGAATCAGGCAGTTGATAATGCCTTGGCAGAGAACAAAGCCCAACTCCTATAGTTGTGGGACTTTGCAATATGGCAAAGCCAATGATTAATCTGACCGTCATGTTTTCTCCACATGAAGCTCTTAGTTGTACACCGTGGCAATATCACAGTTCGTGGCTTCAAAGCGAGGGTCGAACCTGTTTGGGTCCAAGGTTCCTTCACTTGAAGATGGCTCTGAACCGTTGTGAGTGTTTTCCACGGTTGCATCACATGGTTTTCCACCATGCAAAACGCACCAAATTTGAGCATCACAAATATCACAAAAACACCGTGCGCGCCGTCCCGGACCGTCGCTATGTAGCAGTTTCTCTGTACTTAACGAAACGGTGTTGTTAAAAGCGCCAACCAACCAAAACCTAAACGCGTTGACCTGGCATGGAAAAAAAACGCAGCGAGGCCTATCAAGGCGCACCGGTGACGATGCCCACACCAATGCCATTGACCTCGCAACACTTTGCTCCGCAGGCTTCAGCCTTGGAACAAGACATGCGGATGACTTGCCAGATGGTCATTGAGAGCCGAGCGAAATCATGGGTCTCAAACAGGTGCCCACAACCGATCACACTCAATTCATTTCATGGGGCCCTTGATATAAGGGGAACAATGTTTGGATCCGATGTTCAGGTGAGCACCTTTGCAGCAACACCACCAAGTCCTGCCAGAGTTAGAACCTTAGGCTTTGCATGTGTTTGCATCCTTGGTGCTTGGAGGTGGTCTCCTCTTTCTCAATTCCTGTCTGAGCCGTGTAGCTGATCTCACGACTCGTTTGAGGTACCCACCTACTCAGCAGCACCTCAACCAGGCCCACCTGTGAGAAGCTCAGGGTGTATGGCACGCGTTTGTTCAGTTTGTTGGACTCAAAGTGCAAGCAGGCACCCACCCTAAATTTGTTTGCAGCACTACCTGGCTGAATTTGCACAGGTTACTTATACCATAGCACCGCAACTAACCCCTCCGCCTATCGGAAGGTCAGGGTACTTGAGTGTATCCGCGGAGCAAAACAATTTGTCATGTCCTTTTTCTTTTTCTCTCCTTTTTTTGACGGGCATCAGTTGTTTGTAGAAGCAAAAGACCTTGCAGGCTTTGCAGATAAGGTCACCACCTACACCACTGCTCCTCAACCGATTCTTCAACCAGTTGGAAGCTCAGCTTGTAGATCCTTAGCCTTGTGATGACAATGTATGTACTGGAAGTTGCATAGAGGTAGAAATTCTTGGAAGATGAACGAGTGACATTTGCAAGTGAGGTCACCACGTATGTATCGCCTCAACCTGCCTAGAGCTCAGATGAATGCTGCCTGTCTGAACAGTGTGTTTTTGCTTTGATTGGCAGGGCCCAATATGATTCAATACTTGTTGTGGCCTCTTATCGATGTCAGAGCTACAGGGAGGTGCAGGTTCATTTTGACGGATTGACAGATGAAGGAAGTGTCCAAGTAAGTGTCATCTCAGAATAGTGCAGTACAACCGCGCTAGTGCATGTGGTGAGCAACATTCCTAGAGGATTGATTAGAACGTTAGAAGCATGGTTCAGGACCTGGGATTCTCTTGTTCCTGGCTCATTTATTCATCCCTGAGTGCTTGCTAAGCCAGCAATTGGCGTGGCGAGCCCACCGAAACATTCGCAAAAAGTTACACAGCTTTTGGCTTTTCTATTTTTGAGAAATGTTTCACTTATCGCAAGCATTTGCTTTTAGCAAGAAGTCAACAAGTTTTTGCATTTCTCCTATTTGAGAAAAGATAGACATTCATGAAAGCACCACAAGCTTGCTGTGCCTCAGCTCGCGGAACCCAAGCACTCTTTACAGAAAGTCAACAAATCATCGTCCACCTTTCAGGAATACTTTTTACTTTGCGAGAAAAAGCACATCCTGGAGAAGAAATCCCTCAGCTAGAAACATCCCCAAGAAGAACTGAGCTTGAGTGAGGTTGCACACTTCATGTATAGATGACACGTCATGTATAGTTGATGTCTAGGAACACTTATCCAGGACAGGAATTGTCATGTAAAGACTTGCATCATCGGTAATCGGCTTTGCCGTTGCACTGTGGACGCCAACCTGATTTGGCTCAAGAACCAGAGAAAAGGTGCATTGGCCGTTGGATGTCGTTCGGGATCGTATCGACCGCTGCCTTTGCATAGGAAAGCCAGGTTCCAGAGTTTAACTGGTTATCAGCCGCAAGAGCTACAAGGAGACCATTGGTTGAGGAAACGAGACCATACACAAACATCACGACAAGCTTGTCAAACGAAACATCGGCATTGCGTTGAAACTTCTTTCGAACACTTGTTGCCTCGCGCTTTCGGGCGCGATCCATGCCACAGCGAGAACGATCGCGGCGCCGTCGTGGCCCACGGGGTGGTGACCCCAATAGGCCAAGCCAACAGTCCCGTCGGGAGCGTGGACTCCCCACGGAAGACAGATCCCAGAGATCCGGAGAGAAGCACTCGACATCGTGAACGACGTGGTGAGCGTGAGTCGGGGCGTGAGCGTGGTCGCGACAGTCGGTCGCGAGTCAGGGAGGTTTACCGGGCGCAGAGCCCGAGGCAGCCCAGGTTCCCTCCCCCTGGTGTTGTGGAGACCTGGGAAACCAGGCGGTTGCCCAGGCCTACATCCGATTCTGAAGAGTCGGTGGTCGAAGAACGTGCACGACCCAGTCGACGACGGAGGTCACAGACTCCGACTGAGAGATCCCGTTCGAGGCCGCAGCGTGGTCGGCGGCAAAAGTGCTGGGTTTGGGTTCCTGAAAGTGGTTTGAGCCCAGTGCGTGACGATAGCAGGGATCGTGACGAAGGGTCTCAGGACGACGAGATCCCTGAGGAGGAAGTGGAGCTTGAAGGTGAGAGCGTTGATACGGTGACAGGTGAACCTCGTCAGCGTCGTGCAGCAGCTGTTGACGTTGCTCCTGACGTTCCCGGAGGTTCACCGGAAGTGGCATCAGGTGTTGACTTTTCGGCGACCGAGGATTCGATCGCGAGGCAGGCAACAGAAGAAGCAACAGAGCATTCAGTGTCGCTTGAGCCGGAGAGCATTCAGGAGAAAGCACGAGAGCTTCGATCCAGGTCGGCTCGCCCTACTGCTAGCAAACCGTCGCCTTCGATCAGTGAAGATCCAGTTGAAGAGAGACCTCCCGTTGAGAAGAGGGTCAAGCCTCCGCCTCAGGCTACGTCAGCCAAGGCGAAAACCAGGAGGGAGCAGGTCGAGGCCGGTGACATTGGGCGTGAAGAGTCGGCAGTTGGTGCATTGCGTCGTGCCATTGGTCGTGATTCATCGCGCCAGCGCGAGGGAGAAACTTCGTCCGGATCTGGCTTGAAGCGTGTTGTTGAAGAGCTTCCGATCCCGCCTCCGGTGCCGACGAAAGCAGAGATCGAGCAGACAGAGGCTGCAAGGAAGCGTGAGTTGGAGAGCCTACCACCTCCACCGCCGGTGCCTCGTGAGCCACCCGTTCCTGTGACCATCAGAGCTGCACCCAAGCCGAAGTTGACCGAGGAGATTCAGCCTGTTGTTCTTGCCCCAAGTCCGGAGAGCCGTCGCCTTCAGCTCGGCCTCCTGAGCCACCCGGAGCACCGCCTCCGGCCTGGCAAGACAAACCACTCGTTCTGCTGGACTTCCACAAAACCCTAAGTTTTCCAAACAACGAACCGCCGGTTGCAGAGGCGACCGTGCAGACCTTGAGGACAGTCAAGGAAAAGGGATTTGCAATTTGCAGTTGGCATTCTCAGCTTTGCCTCAAACAAAGCTACTCAGGAAGGTGTCGCAGCTGGAGTCGCGGAATTGGAGAGTCGACTTGGTTGGTCTTTTGACGTGGTCGCGATTACGCGAACCAAGTTTTCCACAGACGCCGAGCAGGGAGCGTCGATTACCGGGCACATCGGAAGCAAAGCGAAATTGGTCGCGCAGTTTGGCCCGATCATTTACGTGGACGACCAAGGCTCATTGTTGAACGACGTGCGCACGCTCCAGCAGAACGTGCCGATTGGACACAAGACTCACTGCGTTCGTGCTGCGTCGTATCCGAGTGAGGCATTGGTCCCACTTGAGAGAACGCTCAGGACCTTTCCAAGGACCAGTGAACTGCCCACAGCCAGAGAATTGGGCAGGATTTTCGGGACCAGGTGAGGTCGAGCAAGACGACCAGTGTTGGGTGTACGTTGGTCGAGAGTGGGCATTGTAGCATTGGTCGATAAATCCGTCTGCAAAAGGCTACGTGTCGGGTTGAGGCTGGTACTACATTGCTGTTGAACTTTGCGACATTGGTCGATAAATCCGTCTGCAAAAGGCTACGTGTCGGGTTGAGGCCGTTGTTGCATCATTAAGGGATCTTGTGTGGTCAGACATTGGTTGTGGTGAGAACTTTCCATTGGTTGGTGGTGGAATATTGTTTCTTGTCGTCGGCCAGAGTTCGTGCTACCTTCGCGTCTGGTTCGCGTCCTCGCGACCGACGCGACTCGTTCATCGCGCTTCGCGATCCACTGCCCGAAATTCGCAGCTCTCAGCGCGTGGCAATAAACTCCGCGACAAACGTCGCGTGCCGGCAGTGAAAAGAGGAGGTGGTGCTGCTCAGGGTGTCGAGACAGTGTTGGTTGTTGAATTGAGCGTTGTGAACATACTAGCTGTAGTTAGTTGAGAGTCCTTCAACTGAGTCGGGTCGAATTTGAGTGTGTTGAGATTGAGTTGGTTCATTGAGTTGAGAGTCATTGCATTGCACCGGATACTCGATGTCAAAACGATCGCTTCCTGCAACACCCTTTCGTGTCATCGGTCCTGAAGGCTCCTACGATACCTCGAGTTCATCCATTTCTCCGGAGACTGGGCTTGCGAGGATGGAGGGCGATTTGGGAACTGATGGAGGGGGCGGGCTCCAAGTGAGCGTGCCGGCCAAGGGGAACACAAAGATTGCAGCGAGCCGTGTACGGACACAAAGTTCTGAACCTTCCCAACCTTCTGGGGTACAAGGTGATCCATCGACTGTTCCTGGGGTGCATGTTTATGATCAGAGAACCCTCAACCACCTACAAGTACTCAACCAGCACAACATCGATCCAGAGACACTTGAAAGAATTGTTCAGGGTTACGTTCAATCGCAGTTGAACCATGCAGAACAGGTGATACAGCATGAACGACAACAACATCAACTTGAGCAGCAAAATGCAGCACTACAGTTGAGCCTTGAACATCAACAGATGAACCAACACATACAACAACAAGAAGCCAACATGGCACAACAAGCACACAGCAGAATCAACCAGATCACAACAGAGGCACAAGCAGAAATACTCAAGCATCAGCAGATAGCAGAGCAAGCGCAGCGCGAGATACAACGCGTGACAGCCGCAGCAGAAGCTAGGTGTCAAGACCTTGCACAAGAGAACGAAGCACTCCGGGCTTCGCCTGTTGCAGGCTACTTTGATGCGTGTCTGTCGGAAGCCGGAAGAGCCCCGTCGGTTGCTTCAGCCTCACCATTGAATGTTGTGTACTGCCATGTGTGTGGAAACCAAAATGTTGTTGGGCGTGGTTGGTGTTGGAACTGCAAGAGTAGTCTTGAAGAGCCCGAGAATGGTACGGACCCTTTTGAACCACCATCTCATGAAAGATATATGTACCCAGTGCCTACGCGACCCTCTAGTGTTGCGACCATCAGGGAGCCAGTCAACATGCAAAGGAACATTGCGTCGCATGAAGGACCATCCCATGCAGAAGTTCCTCTTCCTCGAGCCCCTGGCGGTCCGGGACCGTATGGCATGACGTGTGGTGCATTGCATGATGGTTCACATGTTCATCGTCTTGGTGTTGATCCCAGGTTGGTCTATGGAATGTCGACCCCAAAGGCTGTTTCAGAGTCAGGGAGTGCTCCTGTTCCTGGTGTAGGATTTCAACGGGCCGTTCCGGCCATGCCATCGTTCCCAAGAGCTTCAATGGGACCGGCTTACCCGCCAGGGGGGTACATCGGCACTATTCCAGAAGCACCTCCAGGTGTATCATCATCAAGTCACCCACCAAACATCTCCATTGCGACACCTCGCAAGAAGGAGTCATCGGAGTCTGGTGGAGGATCAGGGAGCTCGGATGGTTCATCCGATGAAGGCTCAAGAATGCCGGCAGGCAACCCTCCTGAATCTTGGTTGCTTGACGGTGAAACCGAAGACAACGTGTACAAAATCAAGCACTTGAGAAACATCTCAATCACCAAGTTGCCGACAGATGCAACATCTTGTAGAGAGTGGCGTGCTGCGTTGCTTGCGTCGGTGTCGCGCATTGATCTCACTGCGCGT